AGATGTCACCGTTCAGGCCCTCGAGAGACTCTCACCGTCATTATCCTTGAACTTCTTCAACTCCGAACGCCAGGGCTCCCAATCAGTTCCATATTTCTTGATGAGCCCCGCCAACTCTTCCCGTTGCTCCTTCTGCAGCGCACAAAACACTCAGTTGATGCACGGTTAGAGGGAATGACGGATGTTCTCACAAGATGCCATGGCTCTTCGCCGCCGTACACGTCCGTGAACAGCTCCTTCAGTTCGTGCCTCTTAACGCCCTCGGCACGCTTGAATGCTGTCATGACGTCCTTCTTCAAACGAGCCTTTAGCTCCTCCTCTTCGCCGTCCGTCCACCAGCCCTGGGAATGAAGGAACAAGCGGAAGCGGGCTATGGGATTATCGATCCGTTTCCGGTCCTCGACCTCCTGTCGGGGCCGATAGGCAAAAGAATCATCTGATGTCGAGTGATGCGAAACACTGATTGAATAGTCAGCTATACGTAGCGAGGAAATAGCTGGAGGAAGACCCACCGGTATGTCATGGCCTCGAGAAGGACTGCTCGCCCGCCCTCCACGCACCGCTTCCGTGCCTCCCTTGTGGCGGCGAGAACTGCCAGGACGTCGTTCCCATCCACACGGATGGTGTCGACGCCGTAGGCGGGACCCCGAGCTGCGATGCCGTCGCCGAAGTACTGTTCAGAAGCAGGGGTAGAGATAGCGAAGCCGTTGTTTCGCGCAATGAAAAGCGTCGGCGAGGGAATCGTGGATGCAAAGAGCATCCCAGCATGGAAATCGCCCTCGGAGGCTGCGCCTTCGCCAAAGTATACGGCCGCGCAGCTCTTTCCGCGGCGAAGGGGGTCGCGGCGCAAGGCGTACCCTACACCGGCCGCTTGCGGTATTTGTGTCGCTAATGGTGAGGAAATGGTGTGGAAATGGTGGGCTGGGGATCCCCAGTGCTGCAGAACCGAGAATAAGTGAACTATGTATCGAGCCGTCGAGTAGACACCTTACCACGGGCATTTGTCTGCCCTTGCTCGAGAAGTCTTCCTGATTTCCGAAGCACTGAGCCATGGCAGAATCGATTCCCCACCCTCGCCAGAGGAGGACACCCATCTCACGGTATTGCCCTAGGGCGTGTTAATCGATGGTTCACACAACGAATAGATCTGCATACCAAGAACCCTTGGGTTAGAAGGTCGTTTAATATGATTTGTGAAAGGCAGAAGGGCAACAATATACACACTCGTCATCATTGGCTAAGCCAGCAGCGGTTCCAACAATCGTTGCTTCTTCTCCGTACTGTAATAATGCGTAAGATAATCGACAGAAATCACTTTGAGTGCGAAACTCACGGCTGTCATCTAAGATAGGAAGTCAGCACTTCGGTACCGGACGAGAGAGAAGGGGACGCACATAAAAGGATATCTTTCCCTGACGCTGGATGTTGTAGAGCAAATTGTCCATAGTCGGGAGTAATACCATGGTCTCGTAACTAAGGAAGGTCAGGAGGTAAGAGCTTTGTGGGAGTCTTTATTTCCTCGAGACTGACATCTTCCGCGCAGTGTCCCTGCTGATCTACGGGAAGCCATAAGGCACGAGAGAAAATTGAAGCGAGAGCTGGGTGCATACCTCTGGTATCTCAGCACCTGGTATGACTTTCCCAGCGCCATCGAGGACGCGGTATGAGGGTATCTGCTTTCCTTCGCCTGTAACAGAATTAAAGAAATGCAAAGTCGAGGTAATCGGAGACTGAGTGGTAGGAATGTCTCCCAAGCTTTCTTGAGGAATATGTGGGGTGGTCGTAACGATATTCCTTCGAGCGAGGGGAGCAAGTCGCCGCCTGGGGAGGAGACGGAACATGGTGGTCGACTGGACGGAACTTGGATGCGGGGGTGGCTGAATACACGGTGCACGTGCCCGAGACAAGCTATAACCCAAAAGGGAAAAAGGGAATGTCGGGGAGCAGGATCGTCTGGGTCGTCGTGGCAACGATTGGTCTTCTCGCCATTTCTGCCCTGTGGTAACTTGCCCCTTCCGTGATGTAAAATGATTCAACCGTTCGCTGGTTTCGCGAATAACCGCAGGCATTGGCCCGATAGTGTGGGTCTGACCTTGCGATCTCTCAGGACAGTCTGCGGCTTGGTCCACCCTCCTTACGCACCCCACCACAGCGTACCCTTCGACTTTCTCTCTTTTCCTCCCTTTCCTTTTTTTCGTGCCCGGCCTGCATGCCCTTCTGTTGCGACCGGCTTTATCTTTAAAGCCTCGCCGTTTTCTTCTAGTTCGCCATGCTCATTGTGTTGCAGCTGGCACTGTTCGTCGCGCTCACGTTTGGACCGCAGGCCGTCCTCTCCAAGTTTGACTCCATCCTATTCTCAGCCATCGAACAATGCGGCTCCTTTAATGTCACCTTCTCCCAAGGCAAACTGCCTCCGGCCCTTCCACTCTCTCTCACAGTCGTTCCTTTTAACGCAACTCCCTTTTCTATCCCCATTCCTTCCTCGTCGTGGAACGACACCACGGGCACTGGTGCTTTGATTACCTTTCTTCCTTTGGCGGCTGGTTCGACATTCGTAGCATCTTTGGACGACGCAAACGGCAACAGCACCGGACGCGTGTCAGACGTCATCGGCATTCAGGCCTCCGGGAACACTTCGTGTTTGCCGACTGGTGACGCGCAACCCGCAGCGCCCTTCGTTGTTACAAGCGCGGTATCGCAATGCGAGCCCTTCACTGTCTCGTTCAACAACAGCGCCGACTCGCAGCCCCCTTCTGTCCGAGCGTTTATTCCGAAGGGTCCCGCGTTTCAAGTGAAGCCGACTTCTTCTTCCGGCGCTCCCGGAGAAGCCAGCTACCTCATGAACGTTCCTCGCGGACTGGAGGTTGCTCTTTTGATTCAGGATGCATCTGGTACCAAAGCGGATTCAAACTTGATCACCGTGCAAGGTGACTCGTCGAGCAGCACGCAGTGCCTTCCGCAACCTTCGCCGTCCCCCAAGCCAAGTTCTCCTTCGGGGAAGCTGTCAAAGTGAGATGCGGTTCCACATTTTCCCCGACGTGCCTGCTGATGAGTGCTACAGGGGTTCGATCATTGCCATTGGCGTGGTATCTGGCGCGGTTGTTGGAGCCCTGATCATCTCCGTCGCGTTCTACGCCGTGCACGAACGCCGCAGACGGCGTGCGCTGCTCGGACAGACCCCCTCCAGCGTGGAAGCCAAGCTCGACAGATACGACTCGCCTGCAATGCCCCCAGTCCCGCCACCAAAATCTCCGCGAAGCCTCGCCATGTATGACAAAGACACGAACACGACCCGCCCACGTTACCTCGCCAACCCTCCGTACCCCAATGAATCTTACAGCTCACCTCCCGATAACTATCTCTCAGAGTCGCGCGAGAGGGGTGGAACGACCATCGGCACTTCCAAAAGCATGGATCTGCCCCGGACACCGAATTCTGCGATCCCCAACAACATGCGGCCTATTGATCCATCGGATAGGTCTCTCGCTTCCCTGGATATAGCAGGTATCCTGGACGCTGCGACGGATGACCCGAACGCCCCTCATTCACCGGTGAATCAAAGTCCTCTCCCCACCCCTTTGCTGAGTGCCAGAAGCGTTTTCAAGACGGCTGAGGGGCTGGATGTGCCGCAGTCGGCAAGATTGTTTGGGAGGTTTTCGGGATTGACGATGGAGTTGGATCCCGAACGGGAGCGGGCGGATGGAGTTGAGTCGAGGATGTCCATCGGGGTTGTGACGCCCGGCCAGGCGGACATTGTCCCGGGCAACCCTGAGGACTACCTCAGCGAGCAGGGTAGCATCCGGTCAAGACCGTTCGGAGCCGGGGCACGAGGACGGACGCGTTCTGGAGATTCGACTGTTCGGTCGATGCTAGGCCGGTGAACTGCGAGCTAGCTTTCGTTTTTGTCCCGATGCGACGAGCTTTACCTATTTTACGCTCGTTCGCTTGCAATATACATTGTATTGCGTCTTCGGCCTCCGGGTAGCCCTTCGGGTCTCCGTTCGTCCCCAATGTCTTTGTACCACCTTGTACTACCTTGCGGCGCTGGTAGCAGAAATCACGGACAATGGTTGGACGGGGTGCGCACTGTAGCATACTGTACTGTACGTCGCCTTCATTAGAGTAGCTGGCGACGCTGCGTTACATTCCAACGTCTGTCCGCTGGTACGGTTGTTATGATACGTCCATATGCATGCTTACAATTGGATCTGCAGCAATGCTGCTGTGCTTCGTGCACAGGTAATGGGGCGCATAATGTACGTGTGAGCGAATGTCAAATTTCTGAAGCTCAACAACCTGCGGCGGCTTTCAATGCTAGAAAGACATCAGCAATGGGGATTTCTCAGAAATTGTACGCTTACCTCAAGCATGCTCGTTCATACGACGGCAAGCGTTGCGCTCACTCTTCCCGAGGTAATTTTTTGGCTGCCTCGCGGGCTTTCCGCCTCCCGCCCATCATGATATCCACATAGTCTGCTCCGCCCAGAACAGGCTCGTCCGAGCTGCCCGGCTTGCGCAGTTTTACGGCCTTCTCTTTCAGCCCGGCCTTCTTTTTTGCTTGTGCAGCGGCTGCAGTATGCTCACCCCGGTTGGCTCCTGAGCTTGTGGTGCCAGAAGTGGCCTTTTTCTAGAACACAGGGAAGATGTGATGAGGAATGGCCGTGGCATATTGGAGCATCTAAAGCCATACCGGCGCACGCTTGTGCATTTTCGCACTTCGTCCCATGGTGAGAACTTCTCGGTTGGAGGAAGGAGTGTAATAGTGTAAACTGCTTCCGTCGTGGAGATTGCGATGATATAGTGATGTCGGGGTCAGAAAATTGTGGACACAATCGGAATCGAACTGAGCACCTTCACCCCAGCGACACGAACCAGAAGGTAAGAACGCAAAAGATCCGTATCTCAGAGTGAAGATATTTGCGTGAGTCGTCCTCGACAGCGCTGGTGGTAGACATAAATCAGACTGTCGCAGGCTCGCAGCCCGAAAGCGACCAAAAAATTGGACATATCCGGAATTGAACCGGACACCTCTCGCATAATTACGTAATAACATGCTAAGCGAGCGTGATAAACCAACTACACCATATGCCCTTGAAAATAGGCTGCATCGGAGCATTGGTGGTCATATAGCCCTTCTCGATGGCGTGCAGATGATTGGATTCAGGAAGGGCGGTGTACTCGAGTACAGACCAGCCCACGATGCAAGCGAGGGGGATGAGCCAATTACACCATATGCCCATGAAAATACCTTTCATTGAAGCATTGCTACTGACATGGCTCTGTCAGGTCAACTGATACAGAGATGATTGTAAGTAAGGAGAGCGGTGTACAAGCGACCCCATGAACATTATAAGTGAGCGTGATGAACCAACTACACACGTCCTTGGGGATATGTCTCGTTGTCTTTTCATAGTGCTAGCAATACATGCCTTCGTCGGGCAATCAATTTTGGTATGCAGATTGTGAATGCGGGGCGGTGTACAGGCCAATCCAGTGAACTAGAATACAGATGGACATACATCGTACACAGTGGTCTTCATGAAGATCATAAGATATTAGTTCTCCTTGACGGGATTGCCGTCCGCGTCTAAACCTCGTGCAACTCTCCAGATCATGTTTCTGCGACCACGGACACCCTCGCGAAGCCTGTCCAGCGCTGGGACAGTCATCTCCCAAGACAGACACGCGTCTGTTACTGACTGGCCATATTTGAGGGCTGCAGGACCCGCAGCGGTGATGTCCTGGCGTCCCTCAACAAGGTTCGACTCGATCATGACACCCATAATCATCATGGACGTATCCCCTGACTCTAGTTGTTTCGCCTACGCATGAGGCTTAGTCGAGAACCCATGTCAACATCAGCGGCAAACGAGCACTTACGATATCCTCCACCACCTCAAGCTGGCGGCGATGCTGCTTTGAGCTATTCCCATGACTGCAATCAATCTGGATGGACATGAGGCGCGGCCGGATAACGCAACAACGGGATGCACACCATGATCTTTTGGGCAAGCCCTGCCTTCGCCAGCTTCTCTCCGCAATCGCGCACGTACTCGGCGGCGTAATTAGGGCCTTTTGAGCCGCCACGCAGAATGACGTGAACGTCTGGATTGCCCTGAATCAAAATCAGTTACGTTAGGGCTTAGAACTCGAAGGAGACACGCGCAGGCTTACTTCTGTTTCCACTATACTGCTCAAGCCTTCCTTGCCGACCGAAAGGAAAACATGGCCCGATCGTGCGGCCCGGCAGGCATCAATGGCAATGCCGACGCTCCCGTCAGTGGAGTTTTTGAAGCCCGTGGGCATCGAAAGCGCTGAAGTGAGCTCGCGGTGCACCTGGGATTCCGTCGTCCGGGCACCGATGGCGCCCCAGGACACAAGGTCAGCCGTGTACTGGGGGCTGATTGTGTCCAGGAACTCGCAGCCTGCAGGGAGGCCCAGTTTGGCAATGTCGATCAGGAGGGTGCGTGCAAGTCGAAGCCCTCGGTTAATTTGGAAGCTGCCGTTCATATCTGGGTCGTTGATGAGGCCCTTCCATCCGACAGTCGTCCGTGGCTTCTCAAAGTAGACACGCATGATGATGTGGAGGTCCTCCTTCGCCTGCTCGGCGTATGCGGCCAGTTTCTTCGCGTACTCCATTGCTGACTCCACATTATGCACAGAGCAGGGGCTTAGCAAGGGATGAGGTCGAGTACGAAGAAATCAGAGAGAGATGTACGCACCCAACGACAACTATGAGACGATCGTCATTCCCACGCAAGATGGCCTCAGTCGCCTTGCGGCCTTCGAGGACTGTTTGGGCGGCAGCAAGTGTACTGGCGTAGTAAACATGGGTATGCCTGTACGAGTCACGAAGGATGCGAAGACATACAGAGGCAAGTCCTCCTGCAAAATTTGCGGGGGGATGAGAGGGCGGATGAGCTTCACCCTGCGATTTTCTAGGCACCCGAGTGCCTCCTTGAATCCTATGGCCATGTCAAGATTAGACACTGGAGAAACCGACGAGAGGGGAAGAGAGGTGAAACAGCGATGGTCAGAGGTGCAGCCGCGTATTTATACCCGCAGAAGAACTTACTCAAGATAACGTATTGCACGCTGAGAAAGACGCTTGGAGGCCAGTGATTTGGGCTTCCGTGGGCCTTGAGGAAGGGTGTATTGAGTGATGCAGCCGCTTGCGCGAAAACTTGAAATGCGACATTTCGCGGAGTCATGGCCGCGCCCCCGGACACCCCAAGATCCTAGATCCCGGGTCTGCTGTCTGTCTGCTGGCTGCGAGGACAAGTCTTCCTTCGGCCTCCTACTTCGTCCCACTCTCACATTCCCCAGTTCAGCTCTTTTTTCTTGCTGTCGCTTTGAATCTATCTCGCAGCTATCTTGCTACTTGCTTCTCCCTCTTCATCCAATCGAGTCTAGTGGTACGGTTACAATGTCACTGAATCGCTGTCCTCAGGCGTACTGACCACGTTCGTTCCTCGTATCAGTACCAACCCTCGCCCCTATCACTCCACCGCAATGGACTTCTCACAATTCAATGCCGCCGAGCAGGCGCACATGTCGAGGGTCATCGAGAAGAAGCAGGTGTGTCCTCTGCCATGCCGTTCCCACTGTTCAATCACTCACGGACGTTTTGTCTCCAGATGCAAGACTTCCTGCGGATGTATTCCAACCTCGTTGAGAGGTGCTTCACTTCCTGCTGCAACGATTTCACAAGCAAGGCATTGTCGTCCAAGGAGGTACGTGGTCCTGTACCTTCGGAGCCTTTGCGCGTCGCCTCACGGGTGCAATAGGAGCAATGCATGTTGAACTGTGCGGACAAATTCCTCAAGCATTCGGAGAGAGTGGGTGCACGCTTCGCGGAGCAGAACGCAGGTACGTTGGACACGCGTATTCGTGTTTTATGGTCAGGACGTTGACGACGCGTCTCTTCATCTCAGAGGCCATGGGAGCACTGCAAAAATGACCACATACCTCAGCTAGACACTTCTAATGTACCAATCGTCTAATATGCCAAGCAGCTGCCCTCACCACTGTCCGCTGCCCTGACACTTCATTTGAAAAGCTGTCGCTGAGTCCGCCTTGATGCGCTGGGGGCATCGGCGCGTGTAAGTCATGTCCGAATCATACCCTGACTCCTGGACTCCGCGTAGGGTCATAAACACGCCAAACGTCGCCTCTCCTGAGCCTAAGACCCGAGCGCGAGCATTGAGGACCCTCGGAAAGCTGCTAGAATCATCTATGTATGTGCAGTACATTGCATTTGCACATCCACTGGCTCAGACACTTTGTGGTCTGTTGGGTCCTAAGGAACTTCACTTCAAGGCGGCTTGCCTCGCGCACCCTTGTTGTTACTAGCACGTCTTCGTAAGTTTGCAGTATATCGTAGTAGATGCACATGCCATATATAAGTACCACAGAGATCCGTTGTTTCTCGGGAAATTTTGACAAAACCGGGGAGAAACACGATCGCCGTGTGGGCCACGTGGCCGAGGTGTCGGGAGAATGATTTTGGAAACTTGAGGTCGATTGCTAAGTTTCGTTCAGTCCAGGCATAGCCGACACGCGGCGGAAGCAACATGGTAACTGAACTCCATTTTCCTTTATCTCACAGACGACCCTGGTTTCTCTTTCTTACAAACCATCACCATGCCGCACCCTCTTGTTGGAAAACCTGCTCCCCCGCTCACCACCCTCCATAACTACGACGGAGAGGTGTACGAATTCATCCCGGAGAAGGTCGGTGCTCCGACTGCCCTCTTCTTCTTCCCCAAGGCTGGTGAGAGTGCCAAGTGCATCGATTTTGGGCCGTTGTTGATTTTTTCTCCTCCCCAGGTACCTATGGCTGCACGCGTGAAGTCTGCCAGTTCAGGGATGCGCTCGTAGGTATGTTTAGACCATTTGACTCGGTGCTCCGGGGCAGCGGAGAGTCTGACATCTGTCGCCTGGTCATCAGACGAGACCGTCTTCAAGGACTCGAAGCTCAATGTCATCGGTGTCAGTCCCGATCCTGTTGACAAGCTTAAGGCCTTCGCCGAGAAGCACAATGTCACTGTATGTCCGCTCTCTATCGCGTCTGTCTTTCGAGCCACGCTCACGCCGACTCCTCTCTTAGTATCCCATTCTGAGCGACGAGAAGGGCGACGCCCGCAAGGCATACTGCCCTGGGAAGGGTCTCTTTGGGCTGACTGAGGCCCGAGTGACCTACTTTATAAATCAGGATGGCACCGTCCGGTAAGTGTCTTGGATCGCCATTCTCAGGCTCAACGTCCTCCGGCACTCGATTAACCGGGATTCCCACTCTCAGAGACGCCCTCGACGCCACGGTCAACTATGGAGCGCATGTGAAGTTCGTGTCGAAGTGTCTCGCTGAGCTCGAGGAGGAGAAGAAGAAGGACGCAGAGCCCGCTGCGTCTGAGCCTGCTCCCGCCGCAGCCGCAGCTACCGACGCCCCCGCCACCGACGCAGCGCCTGCCGCCGAGACGACCGCCTAGGCACACAATAGCGGATCGCCGTCGCGCCTTCCGAGAAAAGGGAAGGTGGATAGCGCTGCAACCCATATCGTTGTGTCGTCTGTGCTTGTGTCATTCCTCCCGTGTTTCCGTGCTGACATCATACGAGTCTCGTGCTTTGCATTTTGGATAATGATGTTCCCTCTTTCGCAATGCGTGAAACCTGGACGTCGATTCGATGTTGTGGACTTGACGCTTTGATTTACACGTGTCTAATGTGCCCCGTTTTCCGCTTTATACATGACCAGACATGACTGGATTTTTGCGACTCGGACTACTCTGCTGTACTCTGCCGAGACTGTGTACGATCCGACTCGGACAATTGAGGTGCGACATTGTCTTGTAGTTCGAGTTACCGGCTCTGTCTTGTGTTGCGGGGTAATCACATGCCTGGGATGTCACCAGTGCCAGTACAGGCGACGCACTGTCATGATCAGCCGTGTCGACTCGGCGTACAAATACCGTTCTTGCAGGATCCTCACTACCACCAGACCACCATCTCCATCTCTTCTTGCTTGGACCGTCCGACTTTGAAGGACAGACTTGGAAATTTCGAAAGTTGTTCTGCATCTACTCGTAGCGCCG